AAAGATAAAATCTTTAAAAAAAAAAAAAAAGATAAGGCAGGGGCACCTGGGTGGCTCAGTCTGTTAAGCATCTGCCTTGGGCTCAGGTCATGATCTCAGGGTCCTGGGATGGAGCCCCGTGTAAGCCTCTCAGGGGGCTCCCTGTTCAGTGGGGAGCCTGCTTCTCCCTCTCCTTCTGACCCTCCCCCTGTTCATGCTTGCTCGCTCTCTGTCTCTCTCTCTCTCTCTCTCTCTCTCGCTCTCACAGACTCTTTCTCAAATAAACAAAATCTTTTTTTAAAAAAAAAGATAAGACAAAGGGAAAGCCAGGTAAGTGAAAAGATATTAACTCTCTTACCTCTTCACTTATCAATAGAAAATCAGGTAAACAAATATTTACTAAACAGAAAAAGAATCTCATGTTATCATTATATTTAACAATATACATTAACTACCTCTATGAACTTGATGTGATACTTGAATCTTTCTGATAATTTTTCTCAGTCCTCAAACCTCACAAAATTGATTTTATCCCTGTTAAACAAATTAGGAAAATGGAGATTATTTCCTGAGGTTGGCTGCCCTGCTTCACCTTGGTACTGTCCCAGGCCTCACTCAACCCTCACCCATCATCTATGCAGCTGCTCTTTCAATTCTCCTAAAGGAGAGCTGCTCCCTCCATGCTAAATAACATTCAGTGACTCACCATTGTCCACCAAATAAAGTCCAAATTTTTATGTATGTTCAAGATCTGTTCTCTTGCCCCTCCTCACTCTAACATTTCCATACGTGTATCTCTCATTGCTCCATACATCTGACACTTAAATCAAACCAAAGCTATTCTACATACTTTGCTTTTCATGGAGCTCCCTCTGCCTCCAGACTACTATTTATCCCAACTTCTCCCCTGTCAAAATATTTCCTGACTTGAAAGCCTAGTTCAAACGACATCTTCTTCATGAAGTTGTGTCTGATTTCTCAATTGCCACAGCACTCTACTGCATTAGGGGTAAAAATTAATAGCCAACCAAAGTCCCAGCTGAGCCTGCAGGGAATGCAAACTTCCCTGGGCCAGTCTGATGAGTGGGCGGACACCCCAGAAGTACAATTTGCACTCAGCAGCAGGGGAGATAGGAGGCCTGGGAGGAAGATGTACTCACAGGTTCCCAGGAGCTGAGTTGGGGGGAATGGAAAACAGCGTGATGTCTCTCTCTCCCAAACTGGGCCCAGACTGACTGGGGTCTGGTCCCTGTGGAGCAAGGAAGTACTAGGCAAAAGCTACAGGACCTGTTTTTACAATCTTTGGAGACATGGGGGCACAAGGAATTTTGGATTCATTTGCAATCCAGAGTGCGACATGAGGACAGAGTGAGAGGTGCTTTTCCTTGCTTACCATGGAACACCATCCAGCTTTGATACCTCGTACACTCTAGCATCCTAGCCACAGTGGGAGCCCAGAGATATGAACAGAGCAGCAGGAAACCATGCAGGAGTGGACTTGTTTGTGAGTTCATATGAATTCCCAGAATGCTATGGAATCCCCAGAAATACTTGAAGAACACTTTATAGAAGGCCAACAACCTGTGTAAGTAGCTTGGAGGCAAAAGTCTATAGAATTTGATTATCTTTGATTTAAATGCTTTTATGTGCACAGACAGGTGAGGCCTGAAAAAAACTTGGTTATGCCCATATGCATTTATGACTTGAAACGTTTTAAAACTTATCTCCATGTAAGTGTCTGATTCTATGCTCCACCACCATGCAAGGTGGATATTATCATTACCAGATGTTCCCCATCGCTGTGCTTTGAGCATAGTGTCTACTGTGGGAAGACTCTAGGATTGGGTACCAGCAGACCTATATCAGGGCTCTCTCTCTTCTACACATGGCTGGATGATCCTGGATCAACCCAGATCCTCTAAGCATCCCTGTCTCTCCTGTAGGACATGGTAACAGTCCCTTTTGCATGGGGGTGCCCTGAAACTCTGAGACGATGAACAGCTTCTGTGCAACTGTAAGAATGTATTATGGCCTTGACTTTCTACCATTGTATCCATATTCTGCCATACATCAGCTATTTCCTATACATTATCCATAGACTAAAAAGAATGAAAACCACCTACATATGCCTTATACACGTCCGTGTCTTCTCGTCCTGCACAGAGCAGGAGGGCCTCCAGGGTGATGAGTTTTCCATCTCTAAGAGGAGTGTAGCAGAGGATTCGAACTTCACAACAGCTTGGACCAGACACCAATCTGGAGGGCCTCAGATTATTCTTCAGTTAATCGTGTATATAACAGATACCCGTACAATAGGCCAAGGGTCCCAGGAACACAGTGCATGGTTAAGACAGAACATAGCCACTAAAACAGGGTAGGGTTGGAAAACTTTTTCTGCAAAGGGCCAGAAAGTAAACATTTTAGGCATAGAGTCTCTATGGCAACTACTCACCTCTCCTGTTTTATGATGACAGCAGCCTGGGGTAATATGCAGGCAAATGGGAGATGCTGTCTTCCCGCAGCTCCTATTTTACAAAATGGGTGGTAGGCTGCTCAGCCTGCGGGCCATAGGTAGCCAACTCCCCGAGACGGTTTTGTTCTGTTGCCGAGGAGGACTGAAAACCCAAGACGCTGAAAGGAAAACCAGGTGCTTACATAGAACGAATGGAAAAGTTGAAATCAGTGAATAAAAGTCAAGTTCTCCACTGAGTGTTCGAGAGTAAAATGGAACATTTTACCATTTCCAATGGTACCTCCTTGGAAAGAGAAGAGGTTTCGCGTAAAACGTCGATTGATTTGGGTGAACACAAATTTTATTCAGTTTGGAAAAGAGAAAAGACGACTTTGGGGTTTAGTTGCCTAAAAATTCATGATGGGCCAAAGAGCGCAACGTGGCTTCTGAGAACATGTAGCGTGCTGTATGAAGGCACAGGATCCGGAAGAGACAAGATGATGATCCCAGGGGACTAGAGCTGTGTCTGGCTGCATCCCCGCTGGATTCCTCACACCTATCCCAGGCCAGGCACAAGGAGGTGCTCCCTGGGGAATAAGCGGTCCCAAGCTTGGCTCTGGGCAGCGCAGTTGGACATCTGCGAGTCTGCTCTGTGCCTTGTCTGGGCTGGATCCAAAGGTGAAGAAACAGCCGGTGAGCTCTGAGCCGAAAGGCTGGACCCAGGTGAGCAGAGAGGGAAGGAGTCAGGGGAGAGAGGACCCCAGGCAGAGGGCAGCACTAGAATCCGTTCTCATTATCTGATGGGGTTCGATTCTGCTCCCTTTTCCTTCAAAATCCCAATTAAAATACAGGTTTCGGGGGGGGGGCAGGGGGCATCACACTTTCTAAGAAGTCTCACCTTTAGCTTTGTTTTCTGAAAAATATGCCACCCTCCCTTTGAGAAAAGAGACAAATGCATTGACACATTTAAGGATACACTTGGGATATTTTAAATGAGCCTATAAAGGGAGATGAACAGAAGGGACATAGAGGTCTACACTGGGAGTTCTCATAGCCTCCGATGCTCCCCTTGCAAAGGAACTAATTATGTTTGGAGAAGACGTGTGCTTGATAAAATAATTAAAAATAAATTGCTCTCCTTGGAAATGCAAATCAGTGAGTGTTAAAGCAACCCTGTTGGTCATATAGATAATAAATAGATGGGTTTTCTCAAGTCTGTTAGGCCACACTGATTGATTTCCAATTCTGGCTCCAACAGGCCCAGAATGGCTTCTGAAACAAAGGTGAGGAGACCTCAGGCCCAGTGGGAACCGTTGTTGTATCCTGAGGGCCGATGTTGAAAACCTTAAGCCAGGACACTCCCGAACCACACCCCACCCTACCCTCGACTATTCCTGGCTGAGAATAGGGGACCCCTGAGGAACCAGATTTGACCCACTGCTTCCCACGAGCTCTTAGCCGCTGCTGGGGGAGGACAGGGCAGGGGCACTGTTCCTCCTCCTCCATTGATAACTACCACAATGCCCTGAGCTACTACTAATGCTGTCTGGTCACAGAAAATAAGGCCTTGGCTCAGAGCCAGGACCCAGATGGATCTTTTGGTGTGGGGAGGAAGGGGAGGTATGAGGTCTTAGGGGCTGATCAGATGACTCTTACTAAAAAAAAAAAAAAAAAAAAAAAAATAAAAGTTTTCTCTTAGCAATGACCTAATGCTAATAGACAGAAGAAAGAAAGAAAGGGGGAGAGAGACAGAGAAAGGAAGGAAGGAAGGAAGGAAGAGCAAAGAAGAGAAGAGAAAAGAAAAGAAAAAGAGGAAGGGGGAGGGAGAGGAAGGAAAGGAAGAAGGAAGAAAGAAAGATAGGATAGGATAGGAAAGGAAAGGAAGGGAAGAAAATAGAAATTCAGACTACAAAATGCTTTACAGCTTCATGGAAGGACCAATATTGATCAGGGACCCTCTACACAGAGCTTGTTCTTGCAAAGCATTCATAGATGGGATGAGGGAACGATGGGCGTTCTGCTTTCAGGGAAGTCACACTCACCTTGCAAGACAGATGGGATATGAATGAAGGGCACATCCCTAATACCCTTTTGCCTTGCTGACATCAGGGCCCTTCCTACACCTGTAATCTGGGGGCAAAGGATGCCCAAGGGCCAGCATGACTGGACCACTCGGAGTGCTCTCCTGGGAGTCAGTGACATACGGGAGGGAAAAGTACAGGGTATTCTCACCCAGGCTTTGCTGTAGAATCTTACCAAATACCCAGGAGGCTGTGAGAGGGAGGTTCTCTCCTTACAGACAGGGACCCTGAACCTCTGTGAGGTATGGCCAGTGAAAAACAGGGTAAATCGTCTAGCTCCTGGGAGGATACAAGGGGTAGATGAGGGCAACACGCAAAGAAACACTTCATGGTGTGGGTCCCACAAACACGCTCAATAAACATTCCCTATGATTCCTAGGTAACTTGCCCAAGGCCATGGACACCAAGAAGGACCCAACCCGGATTCATTCACATTCACAAGTGGCTCAGTTCAATTCCAAAGCCCGCACTTTCCCTGGGGCTGATGGAAGCTCTCCGGATTCAATGGTCTTCCTCTTCCTTGTACCTCTGGTTTATTGTCCAGTCTCCAGTCCCTTTCAAGTCCATCCAAAGAGACTTTTCTTTCTGTGCTTTTAGACTCATTGCCGACAACTTCCTGGCCTTGTGGCAGTAGCAGAAGAGAGAAATAAGCAGAAGAATCAACAGAATGCAGGGGAAGACCAACAGGAAATAGAGTAAAGATGTCGATGAGCAGATCCTGGAAGGAAGTGTGGGCTCTGCAATGAAAAGGAGAACGACCAAGAAGATAATCAGTCTCCAAATTCCCTGCAACAATCAACCATAAACACCTGGGGGATTTATTGTTACAGGCAAATACGGGCAAGAACCGCGGGCCCTCAAATCACAGGAGGGCAGAAAGAGGGAAGCAGTGGGAAGAGAAGCCCAGAATGGTGCTTTTCCAGCCTCGCTGCCTTCACCCAGCAAGTTCTAACCGCTGGGGTTCCAATGACCTACTTAAAACCAACAGCCGCGAAGAAAAGCAAAACAAAAAAGAAACCCTCTCCTTTAATCTTCTATCCTCAGAAAAGAGATCTATAATTCAGCCCTCGTTCTCAACTCTGTTGCTGGTCCTGAATTTTTAACTGAGTTATTCCCACTGCTGCTTCTTATGTGCGCGTGCACACACTCTCACACCGTCTTGTCTTCACACGACAGCACCCACGGTGAGCAGCTCCCTCCCTTCCCGACCCTCCAGATGGGTCTCCCCTGGGGCACCCTCCTTTGGGCTCCTTTCCTGTGTTGCTCTCACGATCGCCTCCCTCCAGCCCACACACTCTATACCCGAATCCTCTGGGTCCTTCTGACCCAGATCATATGACCCTCTTCCTCCCCAGGGTTATCCTTCCTGCCTCAGGCATGGTCTTCCAAGATCCTCTTCTCACATACCCCTTGGTGTAGACCTCTTTTGTTCCCCCTTAACCATCTCCTTGGTTTCATCCACCGTTACTTGAGTCTGCCTGATAGTGTCATTTGTTCCCGTGTCCCCTGCAGTGTCCCACACACATGCATAGAAGCTTTCGCTGATCTGAACTGAATGGGACTGACTGCAACCACGGGGGCAAAGGATACTATATAAAGGCAGCCCGAAGCACATGACCGTCAGGCAGCTGCAGCCCATGGGAAAGCCCCATCACACATAGACACACAGAGCACGCACTGCACCTCCCCAGAGTGATTCCCGGCCATGTGCCCAGGGAAGCAGAGGGACAGGACCGCAGACTTTCCAAGATTCCAGGAAGCAGCTCCCGGAGTTCCTAGTCCAAGGACGGGGTTTACAGACTCTCCATGCAAAAAGACACAGGCTCAGAGAGACACCAGCTGCTAGATGTAGTCTTCCATCTACATGTATTTACGACAGGATATTTGAAATCCGGGCTCTTCCGGAAAATTGGATGCTAATAGTAGTTGTGCTTTTATTGGAAAATTGTAATGACTATAAACACATTCTTCTTCAAAGGTGAAGTTACAGGATTCAAGGGATTATAGATTCTTAGAGATGTAAACAGCTTTACAGATCATTTCCACCAACCTCTGCTGCAAGAAAATCCCTGTTTCCCGCATTGCTGATGCATCTTGCACCGAGAAGAATGTCTCTTTGGTGGAAGTCAAGAAAGAATCTAAACATTTTTCCAACTCCTGCACTGTGAGCTCCTGAAAGACGGGGCCTACGTCTGATGCATCTTTTTACCTTGTCCAGCACTTGGTCTGTGGGTCATCAATGGAAACTGATGAATGAATTAATTGCATGAGTACAGTGCACCCACAGGAACGCAGGGGTGGAAGCCATCATGTTGCGCAGGGTAAAGATCATCACTGAACACTAGACCGGCCGCAGCGCTCGGGACTCACAGGTTGCTACGGGGGTTTGTGGCCTGGATTTTCTCTGGTCTCATTTATATTCTCCAGCCTAATTTTGGTTTTCCTTTTTGAAAGGGTGGACAATGATAAAAATGGATTTTTAAATCCTTATCACCCCCTCTCTCTGTAGCCTACCTGACCCCTCTCTCCAAGGCCCTGCTTGACTACAATAATTCTCCCAGCTCTTATGTGAATGTATTTGAAGGCACGGGATAAGGAGGAGTTAGAGATGCTGAAAGAGAATGGAGCTGCAGGGAACGGTGGGTAGGAGTACGGGGTTTGACACTTCGCACTACTCATACACGGGGTAGGGACTGACTACCATCCCCAAGAAACCTGGGTTCACATTCTAGCTCTTCAACTTACTGATATCGACATTAGACAAATTACTTATCCTCAACAATGATTAGTTTCCTCATCGATCCAATGGGGATAATAATTTCTAGAGTTGTGATGAGATAATGCATAATAAGTTATTTAACAGAGTGCCCAGCACACTTGTTGAGTCAGCAAGAAATAAATGTTAGTTGGAAGGCTAGTGAGGATGTTAGGAAAAATCATGGGCAACTTCTCTTAAGAGATGGGACAGAAAACAGGGCTGGACCAACTGAGTCCTCACACGGGTCACCCGCCTGGCCATGTTCTCCCACAGGCCAAGACTCTCCCTTAAATCTCTGGTCCCTCTGTCTCCACGACTGGGTGACAGTCCACTGAGAGTCTAATGACTACTTAGTAGGAGACTCTGACTTCTCTTCCCAGTCATGGGTGTCAGAGAACTGGAAGGTGAGAGTCTACCTTGGTCTCACCGTTGTTAGACGATGGTATGATCATGAGGAGATGGAGCTGGCATACAGAAGGGGGAAAGAAATCTGGTACTTGGTTTTTTCTGCCACTGAGACTCTAACCTTCATCATGAAGGGACTGCCAGAGGGCTTGACTGTCTTAATGGGGAGGAGGCTACTCTGGAGCAATCTGCCATCAAAGGATGGTAAAGTATGCTCTTCACAGTGCTGAATTGGCCAACAGCTAGCGACTGTCAGCTCCAGTGCTTCTAAATTACCTCTCCTGGGAAGGCAGGGTTTGCTCTGGATCCCATGATCACCATTTTGAACCATCTGTCTCTTACCCCTATTGGGATCAGAATTAGTGACATTCCAAACCGTTAAGGTTTGGCATTTTGAATCAATCCAAGTAAGTGCCCAATGCTCAAAGTACAAGGTCTGCAAGGCAGGGCCAAAAATGTAATGAGACTACTTCATTACCAGATCTAGTTTATAACTGTCTTCCACCCACAGCCAAACACGCCACGGGGAGCACTCCTTTTTGCTAGCGCTTCAGAAATACGTACTTCAGCAGAAGAAAGACACAGGTTAACGATGGGGGCTATCAACTCCTCTCCCACCTCCCACCAAGACTTTGGCAACTGTCTATGCCAAGTGTGGCCATGTGAGAGAGTTGGCTCCTGTCCAACAATAAAGTAGGGTTAGGGAACCTGATACAAGTGCATCCCGTAACCAGTGGTGCCTGACAGCATCCTGTTTCCTTTGAAGACTTGTTTGCTCCTTCTTTCATCAAGCATTTGTGAAGTACTACATGCCAGACATTGTTGGAGGCATTGGGGTAGCATGGGTAAATTCTACGGTCATTCCAGAAACTTCAGTGTGGTAGGGGCACATATCTCCTTTGAAGGTTCACTTTCTAAGTATATCCTTACCCAAATAGAAGTTGGGGAATAGGAACAAACACCATATAATTACAACTAATCCAGTCCCCAGGAAGCCTTATAGTCTTGCCTGTTAATTAATCCCAGCAAATTCTGTAGAATAAGACATTTATGTCTGGGTTCTGAGGGTGAGATAAAAAGATGAAGATATCTCCAGCCCCTACCTTGGCATGGTCATAGATAAGAAAGTAAGATGGAGAAGAAGATGAGAGGTCCATTCTCCCAGGGAATTCCTCTTAATTTTTTTTTGTCTTCATTTGAGCCACATGCCCCACAGTTTAGGTGGTCCTAAACTACCCAACCTGACATTGCCACATAGAGGTGGTGGAAAACCACCAGAGAAGTGAGAATTGCTAGCATGTTAGATCTGACCTGGACTTTATTAATACATAAGCAGGTCCTTACAAGGAGTGCAATTACATTGTGATTTGGTAAGTCCTTGAGCATCTCTACTTGCCAGGCATTGTGCTGTGCTAGGAATGAGACACTCAGTCTTTGCCTTCTCAGAATGTACAGTCTGATGGTGCAGATGGATGTTAGCCAGGTGTGATAACTAAGAGAACAAGGCAAGTCACAGATCGTGGCAGTTATACTTGGAGGTAGAGGATTCATGGATGTTGACCAGAGAAAGATGACATGGGAGAACATTCCAGACAGGAGGTGGTCTATGTTGATGCAAGGTGTTGGACTATTGGTCTATTCTCTTCTGATCTTTCCCTTTGTCCTTGCCACTGCCTCTTTCCCCTCCAGAATGTAAAGGTTCTCAAGTCTCTACCACCTCCAAACCAACACGGAACAAAGTAAAAGCTCATTGACACCTCTTGCCATTTGTTATTTCCTCTCTTGTCCTTTACATCAAAGTTCTTTTTTTTTTTTAATTTTTTAAATTTTTTTTTAAGATTTTATTTATGTATTTATTTGACAGACAGAGATCACCAGTAGGCAGATAGGCAGGCAGAGAGAGAGAGAGGAGGAAGCAGGCTCCCCGCCAAGCAGAGAGCCTGATGCGGGACTTGATCCCAGGACCCTGAGACCGTGACCCGAGCTGAAGGCAGAGGCTTAAACCACTGAGCCACCCAGGCGCCCTACATCAAAGTTCTTGAAAGTGTAATCTGTATCTGCTGTGTCCACTTTCTCACCACAGTCTGAATTTTCTCATTACTTGTCTACAATGGCCCTATAGTGTGAAATCCAAAGGATATTTCCCCCTTCTTACCTTCATTGATTTCTCTGAAATAGTTGAGTCTGTTGGCTTTCCCTTCCTTCTTGATACCCTCTCTGCTTTTGGTTTCTACAGTACCACTCCTACCTCTTGGCTACTCCTTTCATTCCCCTTCACAGGCTCCTCTTCTGCACTGATCAACAGTGATAGATCTCAGGAGTCCCTCATGGGACACCATTATTGGCTATAAGTTGATGCCTTCTAATCTACAGCTCTGGCAAAGATCTCACTTGGAAGTCCCCATGTCTACTAGGTAGAACTCTTCCAGTAATTTACACGTACTCCAAACTCAATTCCAGCCCAGTTTATTAAAAATTGAACTAATTTCCCCTTCAGACTTTTCTTCTATACCCACTGAAAATTTGATATTCATCCTTGGTTCTCCCCTTCTGTTCATGCACCCTCCACATATATCTAATCAGTGTCTAACTCCTGAAGATGACGCCTCCCAACACTGAATGCCTGCCCTTCTCTCAACCCTTGTGTGTACTGCCTTAATTTAGGCCTTCATCTTGTCTCACCTGGGTTCCTACGATCAATTTCAAATGGTTCTCCCTTCTCTGTGTCTGCCTCCCTTCTAGTTCATCTTTAACACAGCTCCAAATGGGAGCTTTCTAAAATGCAAATCTCATGCTGTCCCTCCCCTGCCTGAACTTGTTTGCTGACACTCTATAACATTCATGAATAAGTTCACCCTCCCCTTTGATATCCATACCCTCTCCATCTCACTAACTTCCTCTCTGTCCCTTGTGCAACAGCTTTTAATGTCATCTTGCATAGTCTTTCCTTTTCCTAAAATATCTTCTCTTCCTTTTCCTAGGCTGCATACCCCCAAGGAACTTCCTGGATCTCCTCCCCACACAGCCCTTTATCCCAGCCCTGCCTCTGTTCCTTCATCTTGAGGCTGCTTCTTTGATGACCGCTATCATTTTGGACTTCAAGTCCCCCATCAGAATCTGAGCTCTTTGGGAAAAGACTCCGTAATACACATTTTTGTGTTTTCAGATCCTCACAGTTACTTATTGAACAACTTAAAATATTTTGTCACATATATGGATATATCCATACGTATATATGTACGTGTGTGTGTGTGTGTAGCATGTTTGGTGGCATAAGGGGATAGAGAGTTAACATTTTGACCACTTACAATATTCTAGGGACCATGTTACTTTATACACATTTGTATTATGATCCTCACTTTATGAGTAACCTGAGGTTCACAGAGGTTAAATAACCAGGGTATGAGTTCGTAGGTAGGTGGCAGGGCTGTGATCTGAGCCTAGGCTCATCTAATTCCGAACCCCGGGATTTTTCAAAGCCCCTCCTCCACTGCCTCCGCAACTCTGCAACTCCCAGAAAGGAATAGCCAGGTAGAGGAAGCGAGATCCTGTAATTGAGGATTTACTTGGGAACCCTTAAATGTGGTTATAAAAAACCCTCAGCTGATTGTGGCACAGGCTTTCAAGCTTCTTTGACTGTAAGGAATACAAAGACCACCTAATTTTTAACGTTTTCTTTTCAGAGTTCATCTTTTTTAAAACCTGTCACCTGATTTATAAGGATTCCACAAAGATTAACAGGATATATACATATGCGGTGAAGGATCCCATCTGTCTCAGAGGAGATGTGCTTTTTAGTCACAGAATAGGTATGTTTTATACTTGTTATCTATTTATGCTGCTACCAAAACCCACTGATGCTATAGGGTCTGCGGATTCCAGTGAGAAAACAGGTATGGAATGTGCTCAGGGTTGTGGGACTTCCCACAATTGTTAGACTAGAAGAAAAGCCAAGAGGAAGAAAAATTCTCTCTGGACACTTGGGAGAAAAGTTCTGCTGAAGAATGGTCAGGGGAAAGGATGATGGAGCCCCAGGGAACAAATCAGGTAATTGGCTTCCTCTCCAGAAGCTTGGCCGGGGCTGGGTTCCAACTAACCCTACTTCAAAGAAGTTGACACCTTCCCGGGCAGCACCTTTTCTCCATGCTAAGGAGCGTCACCCAAGCTAGCTGGTGTTTTAGGAATGTGACCTTTCGTTGATCCTTCTTACCCTTCTTGGTGTGGGACACCGAGACCACATCTCTACGCCTCCAGTGTCCCTTTCCCAGTGTAAGTTCAGCTAATAGCTCGCCTCTCAGCCTCACCTTAAACCCTGCCATAAAGGAGTGGCTCAGAGATGAGCTTGGCTACATCAGGCAGCACAGTGATCACCAGGGAAGATTCACGGGTCTGGCTGGCAAAACTGTTGCTTTCGTGAACAAATGCTTCATGAATGTCTATTATGTGCTCGGCACCAGGTTGGCTGGAAGGATGCTCTCCTCTTTCACAACCACCTTTTCCACATCCCACCTAAAGCTGTGCACTGAGTAGAATGGTCTTCTTACATAGAGAATGGCCATGCTGTGGCCAAGTTCTTTCAGGAGCTACCCTCCTTGTTGGCCCTGTAAACGAGTTCTATGGGGCACACTTCCTCCTTCAATGCCTTGCAAGCTGTCATTAGGAGACACACATCAAACGACTATCATTATCAAAATCCTGCTAATCTGTTGAACATATAGAGTGATAAGAAGCTTGTCACTTATTCATTGAGAAAGGTTTCATTTTGTTTTTGAGGTGGGGAGCATTTAGATGTAGTTGACTTGGTTTCAACCCAATGAAACCTCAAGTCATTATACTCCTACCCCTCACTCTGACTCCCACTGCAGATCTGAGCCTTCTGAGAGTGGAGAATCAGCCAAGGAGTAAGGATGCCTACTGTGAACATTATTTTGTTCTTTGAAAGGGTACAAAGTTGATGGTTTTTTTGTGTGTTTGTTTGTTTGTTTGGGAGGGTAAGGGGGGAAGTGGGCCAGATGCCCATGACATTTAAATGTCAATGCCAAAAACTCTCGTAGACCTTGTCGGTTCAAATGGGGAATGGAAATTGGCACTGAGAAATGGCAGAGTCACTTTCTTTAGGGAATCTGTAAATTGTTTTCAGCAAAACATAACTAAGAGGGAAAGTATAAGAGAGGAGACAAAGATTCTCCTGACCACGGGCCAGGACAGATTAGCCCCTTGTTACCTGAAGGCAGCACCGTGAGCACCATATGCTGTGACTCGTCTGAGGCTTGCTTGACCCACTTGCTTGGGTTGCCATGCAGCTGCCACTCGGCCACTCTGCACCAGTAGAGCCCAGCATCCTCCATCTCTACCCAATGAAGCTGCAGGACAAAGTCTGTAGAGGATGAACGGTAACAGAGCAGAGGCCTCCTGAGCTCCTCTTCGCCATACTCCAGCAAGCCATCATGCTGCAGGTGTACCAGCATTTTCGTTCCAGAATTTTCCCTGTTCCGGTACCACATCACAGAGAACAGGGAAGCTGAGCTGCCAGGACTCTCCAGGCTGCAGCGGATGGCCACCTGGCTGTGCTCGGTAGCATTCTCTGTCCTGTACTCTTTGGACACACGTACTTTACTTCCTAGGAAATAAAATGGCAATACGTTCGAGAAGAATCCAGATTTTTAGTTTGGATACTGCATCTGAAAAATGTAGTTTTCACTGAGGAGATGCGGTCTTAAAATCCTTAGACATCAGGTCTTTCATCTGTAACATGTTTTTCCTTGACCCCTGTTCTTCCTCCACATTTGCTAGAACATTCTGTGCTATGACTCAAACCGGCCATTTTCCTTCTTCAGCCTTATCTCTTGTCTGCTGAAAACCTGCCCTGGAAACCACCTAGCTTCAGTGGGTGTTCTGCCCTGCTGCTTTTACCCCTCCCCGGTCAACTCTTTCTTCTACTTCCCAGAGGGATCCTTCAAAACTTCCAGCCATCCTCTCGAGCTGTGTATGGCACCAGTGACCCTTGTTCTTAGCAGATTACCCTCCTCTCATACGCCCACATATCATCTCAGTTCTAGAGGCAAGGAAAGAGGGGGCTATCAGAGAGAATGAACATGTTTATACACGTGTTAGACTACCATTCAAGGAGACACTAAATTACTGGATTAGACTAAGCTGTTTTTTTTTATTATGTTCAATTAGCCAACATATCATTAGTTTTTGACATAGTGTCCAACGATTCACCAGTTGACTAAGTTTTAAACAGATTTTGACATTTACTTTTGTAAAAGTTCCCCTCCTAACCAGCAGGTGAGAACTTCGAAGGCCAGAATAGTCACAAACAAAATATAGAAATTATAGTACACACTAAATTTTTGACTCTACTACAAACATATTTATTAAACTGTCTTTAAAAGAATGACTTCAGGGGCACCTGGGTGGCTCAGTGGGTTAGGCCTCTGCCCTTGGCTCAGGTCATGATCTCAGGGTCCTGGGATTGAGCTCCACATTGGGCTCTCTGCTCGGTGGGGAACCTGCTCCCCCCACCTGCCTGCCTCTCTGCCTACTTGTGATCTCTCTCTCTGTCAAATAAATGAATAAAATCTTTAAAAAAAAAAAAAAAAGAATAACTTAAAGAATGACTTCAGGGCACCTGGGTGGCTTAGTTAAGCATATGCCTTTGGCTCGGATCATGATCATGGGGTCCTGGGATCGAGTCCCCCATCAGGCTCCCTGCTCAGCAGGAAGTCTGCTTGTCTCTCTTCCTCGGTCCCTCCCCCTGCCCATTCTCTCTCTCTTTCAAATATATATACATATATATATAATCTTTTAAAAAATAAAAGAAATAAAAGAATAACTTTATCTGATCCTGGATTTGTTGCTGTTATTGTTACCATCTTGACTCTCTCCTTCCTTTCATGGCAAAGTATGTGATATATTGGTTTATATGATACTGTCTCTGCTTCCTCATCTCTAATTCCTCCCTACTGGACTACAATCAGTCTTCCAGTCACGCTCTGGCCAAGACCCTCAGTATGGGCCCAATTTCCCAGCTCAAGACACTTTGTTTTGTTGTCCTCTCTGTGTGTTTTATCACTTAAGTCCATTTTCTTCTTAAGTTCTCTCCTCTTTTGATTTCAGAGAAAATGTCTCTCCTACAATTCTGACCACTCCTTCACAGTATCTTTCCCTGGGGCCTCTTCCTTAACTCACACCCCACACCAGGGTGCACAGCTGGCCACCCCCACCCACAGATATGTTTTGTTTGACACCCTCAGAATTTGAAAAGAACTCAGATTCATTGTGTACATTCTCAAATCGAGTGATGTCACACGAGAAAGATTTTAGGTATTTCTTGATATACTAAAAGATCAGACAACACTGAGCCCACATTTATGGATGGGAAGTGTTTGCTAGCTTGAGCTAAGGAGTGGCTGCCTCCTTAAAAAGGGTATGCATACACTGTTGAGATCTGGCTTGGGCAAATGGGAGAAAGGGCTGCCAGCCACACAGACAGAGAGTGTAAAAGTATGCACGGGTCTCGTGGGATGGCAAGGATGATAATGCAGTTTGGGACCTGCTGAGTGTAAGGGTCTCAAGGACATCCAAGTAGAAATGTACAATAGCCAGTTGGGTAGAAAGACTTGGAGCTAAACATCAAGACTGAGAGCAATTTCATCAAAGGTGGTAGTTGAAACTAAGGAAGAATTGAAGAAGTTCTGAAGCAAGCAGAGAATAAGAAAACAAAGGGGCCCAGGATCTGTCCCTGAGGGACACCCACATTTAGCAGGGAGAAGAAGGGCCTGAAGAACATGGAGAAGAGGAAGCAGAGCAGCAGGAAGAGATCCCAACGCTAAGCTACTGTCTTGCTCTGCCGCCCCCAACAGATTGTAAGCTCCTTAAGGCAAGAGCTGTGCCTTATTTCTCGTTGTATCTCTAATTGTCTAATGCAGAGCAATGTTCATTATAATCTTATTTTTGGATGTTACATTGAAAATAAAATTTTAAGCACCACTTATTTGCATTGTGCTGTTGGATCTCAGCCAGTTTCCGAACCTTCGCTGTGACATTCATTTAATTTTAATCAACATTGGAGGTGACCTAACACACACCAAGTGATCTAATGAACCCTGCCCACATTTTGACCGCAGCACTCCTAGACCAATGCAAATGGATGGAACTTCTGTTACATCTTTAAAGATCTCCTGAGGAAGAGGAGACTCACTCAGTAAGCCATTCCAACAGTTAACTACTCTTATTCGCCTTATGTTTAGGCAGCCAAATGTTGAAAAGCAATTTCTCCACACATCCCTATAGAGTTGTACAGTTTCTGTTCACAGTGGGAGAAATATGCTTCGTATTACTCTTTCTTTGCCAAATTACAGTAGAGCCCCACTGGAATGACACAGCTTGTTATTATAGAGATCTAGAGATACGACACGCTAGGTAGCTCCAGAGACCAGGCTGCCAGGCTAATAAGCAAACCAAAGGGATCTAGTCCCCATCCAAGCACCTTGAAGCCACAGACTGATTCACCTTAAGTGACACCTGCTTCCTCTGCTGGGCTACCAGGTCCTGCATTCATTGTGTAGGTGGACACTCTTCCTATGACCCTGGGTCATATTTCTACCTTCACATAACCACTCTAGAGAAAAGCTGCCCAAGAGAAGATGGAAATCCTATAGAAAGACATGTGAGAATACACTTGCAAGGTTTACCTGTGGGCCTGAGTTTCAATTCTGTCAGACCCGACTTCTTTTCTCCAAGCTTGTGCCAAGTGCCATTTGTAGACAAGAGCCATTCCTCCACAGTGCAGTGGTACTTGCCCTGATCGCTGTCATCCACATTCAAAATGTGTAGCTGAAACAAGTCTTGGGAAACTTTCTTGGGGTAGAATTTTTGTTTTCTCCTTGGGGTGTGAAATTCATCCCCATATTTTACAACATTGGTTTGGTCCATTTGCAGGATCCTCAGCCAGATTGCGTTAGTGGAACTGGGAAAGAAGTACCAAATGACGGCTAACTGAAGATCTCCAGTGGACTGGGACAAGATGCTACATTCTATGTTGGTGTTGGAGTTGATGAGGATCTCTCGGACTTGACTGCTTGAGTTCACTTGCAGCTTGCTCTCTAAATTAAAAGAATGGTGACAGTAACTTTTGTTACTTCACTAGAAAATAGAATTTTAAGGTAGAAGGGACATTAGAGGTCAACTAAGGCAATGCATCCTACATTCATTGGATGTAGGCATTCCGTCCTGCACAGTCCCACTAACTGCCCACAAAGCCTCTGGATAGCTCACCAACTGACAAAGCAGCACGTTCCATCTTTGGACATCACTGCCACTAGAGAATTCTTTCTGATGTCAACTTGGATTTTACCACTCTGTACCTTCCACTCACTGGTCCTTGTTCTACCCTTAGCTGGCAGAGTAGGATAGAGAACATGGGGCAGGATGGAGTGTCATACAGAAAACCAATCTCTTCTACATGGTAATGCCTCACTATCAAAGCCTAGACATTTTCTCTTCTGTCGCATCTTATAAATCAGTGAGAGAAAGTGACCCTATTAATGCTTTGTCTGTGTACTCACTCTCCAGAATACTCCTGGATTCACAATTTGCTGACATTTCCTTGTTTGTTTTTGCCTTCAAACATGGGTAAATAAGAGGTAGTTGTAGGTGGGCTATTAAAATTGTATGTCTCTTAGGGCGCCTGGGTGGCTCAGTGGGTTAAATCCTCTGCTTTCGGCTCAGGTCATGATCCCAGGGTCCTGGGATCAAGTCCCGCATCGGGCTTTCTGCTCAGCAGGGAGCCTGCTTCCTCCTCTCTCTCTCTCTCTCTCTCTCTCTCTCTCTCTCTGCCTGCCTCTCTGCCTGCTTGTGATCTCTGTCTGTCAAATAAATAAATAAAATCTTAAAAAAAAAAAAAGAGTTCACACAAAACCCATGACTTGAACAAAGACTAAAAGTGAGGGAGAACATAGAGTATTTGAAAACCTGCAAGTAGTTCAGTGTGGCCGGAGCTCAAGATCAAGATGGAAAGTAGAAGATGATGCTGGAAAGTCATAATGTAAAGACATAAATGTGCCAGGTTATAAAGGATCTTGCAAGCCATGCTATGGGAGTTTGGATAAGGTGGATATGGAGGCATTATGGTTTCTCACCTGGGCCACTGATGGATTGTGTAGACATGGAGAACAGTGTAGGAGGAGCAGCTTTGGAAGAATAAAAATAGTGCATTTATGTTTGGACTTACTAAGTGTAGATATGCCTCAGAGCTAACTGCATAACGAGTCTGGGGATCAAGAGGAGCCTTTCAGGATAATGGATTTGACAGTCGTCACTATATAGGTTGAACCAGGGGGAGGAATAAGCCCACTTCAGGAAACTGTATAGAATGAGAAGGAAACAAGCTAAAGCTGAAACACAAAGGAATGGATCTGTGGAGGAGGAGAACTCTGCAAAAGAGAATGAGAAGAAACAGGTGTTAGGAAAGAAACCAAGAAAATCTCGTGTCATGAGGCCAAGGAAAAAGAAAGTTTCAAGAAGAAGGGATTGGGTTGACAATCTTAAATACCACGGGAAGGACAAAGCAATTAAGGCATGAGTTAATCAACAAGGAGATTGTTAAATGTCGCTCAGCAGCAGAGAGAATAATGGCTTCCACCATGTCTGGCCATTCTCTTGGTATGTCAGGCACTGTCCGGGGCACATTACATATATCACCATCTTTACAGTGCACAGCAGCAATTTAGAGATGAAGTACCTAGACTAGGACAGACTGAGTGACTTGCCCAATGCTAAGCCGCTCACTGGTGCCTGTCAAGTGGCAATGACTTCAAAGGCTCTTGAACACAATGTCTTTAGAGAACAGAAGTCATAAAAGAAGATACGTGGACCCAGCGGGACTTTGCCCAGGTTGTGTCTTACTTTTTTACCTCTGCTCTTTCACCAGCTGATGAGGTAAATTCTATTTGACAAAATCAGATATTCTCTCTTTACATTAACATGTTAAATCAAGAGGATAAATGTATTCTAATGGAATTGACATTATCCTTACCAGTAGGGGAGACATTGCAAACATTTAATGATTAGTAAGGCACAGGCAGTGACCAATCCAAAGAATGCCTCCCTCCCCACCAGAGCTGATCTGAGAGGTCCCCTGTTGTGCCACATGATACCTTTCACTTGCTGGGTAGTGGGGACTTATGGAAAGAGGGGGATGGGCCCTGGAGCAACAGTAACTAGTAGTCCGTGTGGAGGTATGTCAATGTTTTAACAGCCAGTATGGCTGTCCCATGTGTACTAACTTCATGTTAGCCTGGACATTGGTTTTATTCAGTGCTAACTTATATAGTCAAAACATGGGGGGGTATTTTATGTTTTAATTCTATAACTTGCCCCAAATAAGAGAAATGTGTTTGTTTTTAAAGCAAGGATTAATTTCCAGTGGTGTTTACCTGGTAAAGTGACGGCTATCATCAGTGAGTGAGAGATGGCAGAAGCCCTTGCGGGGCCACTTGTGCATAGGGAATTTCTGACATAAACTTCTACTTTACACTGATAAACTCCTGCTTCTTCCTCAGTGGCATCATGGATTAGGAGTTGAGAATGGAACGAGGACTGGAGAACTTTTGTCTTCTTTTGGAACTGAAGTAGGTCTTCCCCCCACTCAATAGTGCCATTATGGGTGATTCGAACAAGTAGGTGAAAGACTTGAGATCTTGCTGGCTGGAACAGCCACGTCACAGTGAGTGGCACCCTGAGGTTGGCGTAGTCAGCCTCCACTACGCAGGACAAGCCAAAGTTCTTGCCTAATTCCGCTTTGGGCTGACGGCTCATCAGCTTAACCCGTAAACTTGACTCTGTGGGCAGAAACACATGGGAAACACCAATGCCAATATGTTTATCAAATCAAAGTTCTCCTACCTACCACCTCTTCATATGGAACCATGCATTCATACATGGGGAGCCCCAAATATTTGGGGCTAAAAGTTGACTCACAGTACAGTCTGTCCTGAATTCTGGCCTCAATTTTCCAAAGTTGATCCTATTCTGAGAGCGTTCCCAGCAGGAACAACAAACGGGCAGTGTTTCTCCAGCCTGCCACTTAGACAGCTGCTACTGAGTGGGTGGAGTGCTCTCCCCTCCCCACCCCTGCCCCTGGGTGGCGGGCCTCCCCTGATTTCCACTCATGGGCTCAGCGTCTCTCTGGCGCACAGGCTTGAAGAGACTCTGCAAGCCCAGAGCTGCAACTATAGAAGCCTGGATGTACAAAGTTCACGTCCACGGGCACAGGTCCCCTATACGTCCACTCTAACTCATAGGCTTTCGTGTTTAGCTCTGACCAGCAACCGACGAGTGGCACCCTACACATGATCCTTATAAAGAGGAGGAAACTTTAGAGACTGGTGGACAGACATGGCAGCCAGAGACTATGCTCTGTGTCCGGGGGTGCACGTGCCACAAGGAGGGGTTTCGGGATGACATACAAATTCCACCACACCCCACCGTCAAGGAAGGTGCTGCTGATATTATTCAAGTTTGGAACAGGATTTCTCTGACACTCACCCAGAGACTTGACAGTGACTGCCAACTTCTGAGTCCAGCTCCGGCCTCTGGCGTGGCTCTGGGTGCCCTCAGACACTCGGCACTCGTACACGCCGCTATCTGTGGTGCTGGTGGGGCTGATCTCCAGCTGGAAGGTGGCCCAGTCCATTTTCTCCAGCCTCGTGGGGCCCCGGTTGTTGGGTTGCTTGTAGGAGGCCCCCAACTGCACGGCACCATCTTGTTGCGTACTGGCCACCAACTCCGGCTGCGCCTGGCCTCGTGGGAGGTGCCACCATTCCACGGACAGGAGACTCACAGCCCCATCTGCCTTGCAGAGAAGCGTTAATGCCTCTCCTTCCCACATGGCTTCCTGCTTGTTCTTGGTGGATAAGACCACATTTCTTGCTGTTCATTACAGATTTGAGAGGAAAAAGAAGTATTTCAAGTAAATGAAAATTTTACTAAAACACAGTGAAATCTCTTTAATTAGGCCTTGACTGGTTTGTGACAAATCAGATCGGGCTGTTGACTGTTCTTACCACCCCCAGAAAAGAGATTTGCTAACCACTTAACTAGTGGCAATAAGACAGCACAAAGAATATCAGGAGCACTTATTTACACTTAAACAATTTATAATTTGCCTTTATTTTTAGTGCTTTGTTAAATCAGCCCTTCATTAAGAACATCTAGTTGGGAAAACATCTGGTAATATTTTGTTAGATTAATTAGGGTGGGTGTACGAGCCTAAAAGTAACGAAGCTGTATTTATTTAAATTTTTAGTCTTTTAGAATTTTATATTTCATAGATCAAAATGACGTTGCTCTCCCTACTTATTTTTCCCCTAATTAGTATGTGTTGTGAACAGGAAAGGAGTATTGGTAATTAGATTTCTTTTCAAAAACTACCATTGGGGTGCCCGGCTGGCTCAGTCCATAAAGCATGGGACTTTTGACTCCAGGTTCATGAGGTCGAGCCCCACGCTGGTTGTAGAGTTTATTTAGACAACAACAACAACAACAAACAAAATACCGCCATTAAAAACAATTACTAGAAAAGAAAAAACAATTACTTGGGGGAAAATACATAGATAGATATATTTCCTTTCTTCAAATCACATATTCTCATACATACACTATTGGTTGAAGGGAGGTCCTTCTTTTATCTGAACTATAATGTTAAATTACAAAATATAAATGGCTCCCAGATGGGAAACTCAAAATGTGTGGAAATGCAAACATTCATTCAACAGATACTTCCTGTGCAAGGCTTTGTCCTGGGTGCTTTGTGGGCAAAGCAAAGACACCTCAGTAGCTCATGCATCTCAGGTTTAAGGCCAAGATCCTGGGAGTCAGAATTTATCTTGGGCAACACAGTTGTCCTCCCTGACCCTTGATTTTCTTTCCTGTATATACAAACGTTAATAGTAGCACCTACCTTATCACATTGCTGGGACGACTAAAAGTGGTACACACCCAAGAGCTTAGCCTGGCTGGCAAGGGAAAGTCCCCAGTAAAGGGGAGCTATTAGCATTGAGAGGCACTTAGTGAAAGTGAGGTAGTTCAAAGCCAAAAGATAGAAAACAAAATAGAATTGGGATGAGAAATCTCAATAGGATCTAAATGAATTTGCAAATTGTTCTTCCCTGTTGGGGAAGGAGCTGGGTCTTCTCAGGCTCTATGTATATACGTAGATAAGGTACAAAGGCAGAATGAAGCCTGATGTCCACAAGGCCATCCAACACATGTATTTAATATTTTAATTATCTAATAATACAATTAAATAATTAAATGATAATTATTTAATAATTATTAGTTAAATAATATTTAATATTCTGAATCTGTATCTGTATCTATATATGCAAACCTACTTCCAGATTTTCGGTAGTGAAGGCAGGATTATACTTAAAGTTCTTTTCAAGTTAAAAATAGACTCCAACTGAAGTTTAGAAAATAAAGAGGAAATTATTACTCATAATCTCACTACTTGAATGTACCCATTATGGTTAGTTTCAACTAACATCAATTTTTTTTAAAAGAAAAAAAATCAGGTCTCCTTAGTTCTTTACATTCATTACTGCCTCTTGGTAAGAAGTAATAATCTTATCAAGTACGTGTAAGTTACACATTCACAGTGGTAGTGAGTACCCCCTTCTGTTTAAAATATTCATAAAATATGAGTTTCATGATAAAACTGCTCAGACTTTGGTTTGACTTTCAAAACCGAATGATCAACAGAATCCTTAATAAATTTGCTAATAACTTTTTCTGTTTCCACATACCAGGCCGAGTTTGGACTCCAGCCTACACAAAGAACTATATTTCGCTTTGGTCTTCCAAAGACCAAAGACCAAAGTGAAATATAGGACAGGCTTATGATCTGAGGACCACAAAGCACACCTTCAGGTCCCTCTGGCACAGATTCCCATATACCAAATTTAAGAAAGGTTTACAGATATGTTTCAGCAGAGACTGAGATGAATGAAGCAGAGATTACGCTTCATGTAAATATGTAAACCCGCCCACACAGTTCTTCCTGAATCCTAGAAAGTCAGACCAAATGTTTAGTGTGAAAACTAACACCAACACACTTCCTGGAGTGCCGTCCTAGGCCAAGGCTTGTGCTTCTTCATTGCTTGCAAACGGGGCAACAGAGAAGAGCATGAAAGGGAAATTTATCTATCTTTGGAGATGCCCCCAATGAGCAAGTGAAAATGAGAGTATCTTTATTTTTAGTTGGGTTTTGTTTTGTGCTCTTGGGCAGTGGATGCTTCTAGGCTTTGAATATAACACCCAGCCCAGAGCATCCTAACATATGTTGTAGATTTGTCTGTTTTCTCTGCACACAAAAAACACTGAGCGTTCACCACGTTTAAGGTTGTCCAACCTTCATAGACTTGAAACGAGAGCTGAGTGGCCTTCCATGTCCATGCCTACGGTAGCTACATGGACCTGTTCGGACAGGCACCTCGCATTATAGCAAAACGCAGGGAATTGAATCTGCCTGCTATCATTTACCTCTTCATTTCTTATTCTGAGTCAGGCTTTGATGCAGAATTAAGACATACTCTCATTCCCTGTATCAGGTTTAAGAGAACAGAGGATGGACAAAAGACATCTGAAAGATGTTTGCGGGGCGGGGGGCACAATGCAGGTGTTTCATCCACAGGAAGGAGGCAAAGTGTCATTCTTTCCTCTCACCATACTCGCATCACACAGACAACAAAGAGAAGATGGGGGTTTCATTAACGCTGGTGTTTTCCGCGTGGAGAAAAACCCAACGTACATAAATGAGGACTGATGGCAAATAGAATCAAAGAATCTAAGGCAGCAAGAGGGGACTTCAGGGCAATCTAAATGTATGTATGTATGTATGTATATTTAAGGAAGCTGAGATTTAAAGAAGTTAAGCCTTGGGTCTGTGGTCACAGCCTGTTTAACAGTCCCAGAATAAGACCTAGGTCTTCAGCCAATTTGGTGGCTTCTCTTATTTTAAAAAAAATTTTTTAAGATTTTATTTATTTATTTGATAGAGATCACAAGTGGGCAAAGAGGCAGGCAGAGACAGAGGGGGAAGCAGGCTCCCTGCTGAGCAGAGAGGCCGATGCGGGACTAGATGCCAGGACCCTGGGATCATGACCTGAGCTGAAGGCAGAGGCTTTAACCCACTGAGCCACCCAGGCGCCCCTTGGTGGCTTCTCTTAACTCCACCTCAGAGTGATGGGACTGACACCGGACTCTCCAGGGGTGTGTCTGCTGTGTCCAGGGAGGCAGCCTGGCCTCACAAAGGACGGAAGCAGAGAGCAGTCCAGGCATGTCTAGCTCTGACTTCACATACCTGCTGGCTTCCTCAGATGCACACGGCTGTCTGGGGACTGCTTGCTCTGAAGCACCTGCCAGGAGCCCATCGGAGCTCTCGCCACCTCTGCCACGGCGCAGCTGTAGGTGCCTTCGTCCTCGGGGCCCACGGAGAAGATCTTGAGAGAGAAAGCTTTGGAGCTTAACTTTGAAACCTGGAGCTGTCCTTGACTTGCTCTCCCTCTGTAGTCTCCCTTCAGGTCCAGAACACCCCCAGCGTCCATGCGGGCCATCTCATTACCATTGAAGAACCAAATGCCCTGAAGCCATGGGTCCCGGCCACCACCTACGACCAGGCAGACCAGTTCCAAGGAATTCCCTGCAGTCCACGTGCTTTCAGCTGAAATGTCGATGTGAAAATCTCTCACTAGGAAACAAAAGCAACACAGGTGTTTAGAGAAGCCCCGGCATTTGTCCTTTCGGGACCACAGAGAGATAATACCCCCTGTAAGGGTAGTGTGGGGATTGCATTTCATGTGGGAGTTGAGCTCTGAAGAGGAGGTCAGCCAAAGCAATGCCTAGAATAAAAAATGTCCTTGCCTATTCCTTCAGTCTTTCAGGAAGAGCAGCGCACGTAGCTTTTCTGATTGCAATCCTATTAAGCAAGATGTATGCATAGAAGTATAAGGAGTAGGGTATCTTTTTTGAATAAAAAAATATAAAATATTGGGGCGCCTGGGTGGCTCAGTGGGTTAAGCCTCTGCCTTCGGCTCAGGTCATGATCTCAGGGTCCTGGGATTGAGCCCCGCATCGGGCTCTCTGCTCAGCGGGGAGCCTGCTTCCCCCTCTCTCTCTGCCTGCTTCTCTGCCTACTTGTGATCTCTCTGGCTGTGAAATAAATAAATAAAATCTTTAAAAAAATATATATATATATAATATTTTATAATATGTTGAACTGCTGTAAATGGTGACTGCTTTGCTCTCTTTTTTGGGGGGCTAAGACTATCCAGTGGAATTTTCCTAAGTTAAAGCACATGTGACGTGACGTATGACAAATCCACAGCTAACAACACCTAACGATGAAAAGCTGAAAGACTTTCCTCTAAGATCAGGAAAAGACATGGACGTCCACTCTCACCACTTCTATCAGACATAGTACTGGAAGCCCTAGCCAGGGCAGTTAGTCAGGAAAAAATAAATAAAGAACATTCAAGTCCGAAAAATGAAGTAAAATCATCTGTTTGCAGATGATGTGATCTTATATATAGAAATCCCAAAAGCCTCCACCAAAAAATGGTTAAAACTTATGATTTCAGTAAAGCTGCAATACACACACAAAAAAATCAGTTGCATTTCTATGCACTCGTGACACAGTATTGGAAAAAGACATTGAGAAGACAATTTCTGCAGATGGCCAATAAACACAATGAAAAGATACTCAACATCACTCATTGTCAGGGAAATGCAGATCGAAACCATAATGAGACATCATCTCACACCTGTCAGAATGGCTATTCTCAAAAAAGTCAAGAAATGCCAAGTATTGGAGAGGATGTGGCAATAAGGGAACACTTTTATATTGCCGATAAGAATGTAAATTGGTGCAGCCAATATTGAAAAGAGTAGAGAGATTTCTCAGAAAATTAAAAATAGGGGGCCTGAGTGACTCAGTAGGTTAATGGCCAACTCTTGGTTTTGACTCAGGTCTGATCTCAGGCTCTGTGCTCAGCACTGAGTCTACTTGTCCCTCTCCCTCCCCCTCTGTTCCTGTCCATGAGCTCTCTCTCCTTGCCTCTCTCCTAAATAAATAAATAAAATCTCAAAAAAAAAATTAAAAATACAATTACCTTATGATCCAGCTATCCCTCTTCTGGATATTTATTCAGAGAACATAAAAACACCAAAAAGATATATGCACCCCTATATTCATTGCAGCATTATTTATATTAGCCAAGATATGGAAGCAGCCCAAGTATCCATCAATGGATGAATGGATAAAGAAAATGTGGTATATATACACACACAAAGAATACTATTTAGCCATAAAGAAGAAGGAGATCTTGCCATTTGCAATAACACGGATGGACCATGGGGATATTATTCTAAGTGAAATACAGAGAAAGACAAATACCACATGATTTCATTTATATGTGGACTCTAAAAACCAAAACAAATGAACAAACAAAACAAAAATAAACTCTCTATAGAGACAGAGAACAGATTTGTGGTTCCCAGAGGGGAAGGGGGTTGGGGAGTGGGCGAAATGGGTAAAGGGGCTCAACTATATGATAATGGATTGTAACTAGACTTACGGTGGTGATCACATGGAGTGTATACAAGTATTGGATTAGTGTTGCACACCTGAAACTTATATACTGTCATATACTAATTTTATCTCATTTTAAAAACATCTCACTTGCAATAATGTCAAAAAGAAGAAAATACTTAGGAATAAATTTAACCAAGGAGATGAAAGACATGTGCTCTGAAAACTGTAAAATATTGATGAAAGAAATTAAAGATACAAGTAAATGGAAAGATGTCCTGTGTTCCTGGGTTGGGAGAATTAATAATACGTGTTGGTGAGAATGTGGAGAAATGGGTGTGGAGGACATGCTCTGTTTTCGGGGAGGTAACGTTATAGAAATGGTGTGGAGGTTCCTCAAAAACTAAAAATAGAACTACCATAAAATCCAGCCATCCTTCTTCTGGGTATATAGCCAAAGGAAATGAAGTCAGCATCTCAAAGAGACATCTGCTTTGCCATGTTTATTATTCGTGATAGCAAAGATATGGAAACAACCTAAGTGTCCACTGATGGATAGATGAAGGAAGATAATATAGTAAATATGTACACACTGAAATATTATTCAGCCATGAGAGAAAAGGAAAGCCGCCATTTTCAACAACCTGGATCACCCTGGAGGACATTAGGCTAACTGAAATAAGCCAGACACAGAAAGACAGATACTGCAGGGACTCACTTATAAGTGGCGTCTGAGACTGCTGAACTCATAAAAGCAGAGAATAGAATGGTGGTTGCCAGGATCTGGGGGGGAGGGAGTAGATATTGGTCAAAGGGTACAGAGTTTCCATTACACAAGATAAGGTCTATAGATCTATTGTATAGCATGGTGACTGCAGTTAATAATACTGTGTTGCATACTTGAAATTTGCCAAGAATAGATATCTTAAGTGTTCTCACCATATAGCACAAGCACACGCCCACTACACACAAAAAGTAACAAGGTGAGATGGTGGATATGTTAATTAGCTTGACCGTGGTAATCATTTCAAAATGCATATGTGTATCAAAACATGCACACCCTAAATACATACAATTTTTGTGAAAATAAATAAGTAAAAATAAAGACTGTTTTACATAAAAAACTGTTCTCAAAGAAAGAGGAAAAGCACATGTGATAGGTCCTCACAGAACTCATTGAGTGTAACTTGGACCCTTAAGAGCAATAGGACAATTTCTTAATGAAAGAGAGTAGCTGTCCTCCTAGGAAGGAATGGAGGAAGGAAGGAAAAGGAAAGGAAGGGAAAGGAAGGGGGAAGAGGAAGGGGAAAGAGGAGAGGAGAGGAGAGGAGAAGAGAAGAAAGGGAGAAAAGAAAAGAAAAAAGGAAGGAAAGAAAAGCCTTGAGTGATCCACCATTGGATCACTGGTTTTAGTCTGGATATATACGGCTTTTGCAACATCTTCCTGTTGGACCATAGCCCATGTAGAGAAACCAGGAATGACAGCTGAGCCTTCCCGCTTGCTTTGATGAAAATGCCAGTGGATCATGAAGAGTAACACCATCCCAAGCAGGAAATGGGGTCAGATGTTAGGAAGTCCTGGCAGTGACTAAGATAAGGCTCCACGATGGAAACTGCTAGAGCTACTCTGAGGCCCAGGGGTCTGCGGTGTGGGGGCTTCCGAGAGACACACCTGCTTCGAGCACCAGCTCCACCTCTCACCAGCAATTTGCCTGAGACTCAGGTTCCTTGTTTTAAAAATGGGGAGTCAACCGCTTGTCCCATAGGGCGAGGACTAAATCAGATAATATAGATAAAGTAGAAAATGTAGATAAAGTGCTTACACAGGGCTTGGCAAGGGTGGTAACAAAACCATTTTCAGGGGCGCCCGGGTGGCTCAGTGGGTTAAAGCCTCTGCCTTCGGCTCGGGTCATGATCCCAGGGTCCTGGGATCGAGCCCCACATCTGGCTCTCTGCTCCGCAGGGAGCCTGCTTCCCCCTCTCTCTGCCTGCCTCTCTGCCTACTTGTGATCTCTGTCTGTCAAATAAATAAATTAAAAAAAAAAAAACAACACCATTTTCAGGCATGCCTTGCAGAACCTACCTAACCATTCAACAGATCTTATCCCATAGAAAACCTGCTATGGACAGACCCAACACCAAATGTCCCTCTTCCTACTTATGCTTCCCAGATGCCAAAATCCAAATGTATTCAAACTTACTAAATGTTTTTTTAAAGGCATGACAGAAGATCAGAAAAACACCAAAGAGATACCCCATCAATATCCACTATCAACATACTAACGAGTTTCTTGAGAAGATCATTACCTATGGGTTGGATCCTCAGAGTGGTTTGAGCTGTCCGCTTTCTCGCGATTGAAGTCCAGGTTTCATCTGGATCCTGAATCCATTCGGTGGCCTCACAGAACAGCTGGCCTTGATCTGAGGGCTGGAGGCTCCCTATGGACAGCCTGAAGGTGGTGAACCCAAGCTTGCCGAGCTGGACGTCACCAGCCGCAAACCTCTCTTTATACGAGGGCCCAGGGATCAACAAGAAATCTTTGGAGAGGGAAATAATCTCGGTGATTTGGTTTCTTTCTCCGTCCTGCATCAGGTACCAGGTGACAGAGAGGTGAGTGTGCTGAGCTGTGGCTTTGGCTGCTTCGCAGGTCAGTTCTAATGATTCACCCTCCTCCTTACTGAGAGTCTGGGAACTCATGGTGGCAGAGAGGGTATCTGGAATAACTGGAAGCAAAGGAACGATGATAACTGACTGGCCCAGTATCCTGCCAGACAAGCCTGCTTGGAAGGAGATGGCGCCCTGACCCACCATCCGTAAAGCACTTACTTGGAGTTGCTTTTCCACCAGCCACAGGCTTTCCCTATTGCCAAGGGGAACATCGGTGATTGTATACACAGTCTGTGGAACTTGGCGAAACTAATGGCTTAGTGATGTATTGACCCTGACTTTACGTTTTTAGCTTAGGCAGTGACCAAATTAGCTACTCAGACACAGAGTATTTAAAAGGGAAGAGCACTGGGAGCCAGAAGACCTAGATTCTGGTCCTAAATCTGTCCCTATTTGACTACAGGAATTGGAGCAAGTTGCTTCATTTTCTGATGCCTTAACCTGCTTCTTTGTGAAGTTCTGAAATAATCTCTTATAATCGTTCAGAGCTCAAATGCAGCCCTTACCAAAGTTTTGATAACCATCCTACTACCCTCTAACTGTGTTCTTCCTCAGAGGAAATCACGCAGCCTAAGCTTATGGGAAAGCAACACTTAAATTTGATCAATGAGTATTTACTGAGCAGCTACCCAGTGCTACCCACCGTGCTAGGGGCTAAGATCATGATTCTGCTGGAGCTCGAGGTGAGGAAGGAGTCGTATAAGCAGCCAAATACCACATAGGCTGGGGGAGTGCTAATAATAGCGATGTGAATAGAGCATCAGGAGGAAACAAAGATGGGAATATATTGCCTGAGACAGGACAGATTTCACAGAAGAGATAAGAGCTAAACTGGGTTCACAAGTACATGTGGGTTGGCTAGATTGAAAAAGGGGTGCTAAGGTATTCTAGGCAAAGGGGCAAAATGGTAATTGCAAGGACTATGAACCTCTCTATGTAAATCTGCTTGAGATGACTAGCTTGGGAATATTCATTTCCAACTGAATGACTTACCACTTGACCGTATTAACTCCAGCTCTCTTATCAAGTTAACGTCCTGCCCCCAAGAAGAGACAGGACATGGGAAGAACTCTCAGAATTTTGTTTGATGCTGTTGCTACGATCACCCCGTGGCTAGCTATGGACCAAACCTTTGGAAGACCACATGCTATCTAAATCTTGGCAGTGGGCCAAGTTGACCAGAAAGACGAACTGAGTGTTTGAGAGAAGGGAAGATACCAATGTGTGACCCATCTGCAAAATACCCAGAGGGCTTCCAGGGTTTTTTTTGCCAAAGCAAAGGACATGATGTGAAGCCACGTTACACGGCACAAGGCATTGTGATGGTGGGGCTCTGGCTTCTGGGGGCTGCTGGACGCAGGCGGGCCCATAGCTTACCAATTAGCCTAGTCTTCGCGCTGTAATTGCCATAGTATCTTTCATCCGTGTTCGGGGTGTGACACTCATACTCGCCAGAATCCTTCAGCTGGGGCTCTGAGATGTGCAAGAAGACTGAGTTGCCCCGGATCCTCTCCACATAGATCTCCTTGCTTCGCACCCGCTGTGCATACACCACATAAGAGAAGCTGGCATCCTTGGTGCTCACGATCTGGATTTCTTGTTTTGGGGTTTTAGGCAGGTAAACAGACCACTGGAAATTCTGCTCAGCAGGTCCCTGGTAGCCTGTGACATTGCAGCCAATGCTGACAGGGTAGCCCGCGACCCGAAACAGTGGTCCTTTCTGGATGGTTACCTCCCTCTGGCCAAGGCTGAGCTTAGCTTGCAAGGAAGAGAAAGAGCGGGGAATAAAAATAGATTAGTGCTCCAGTCCCCAGTGTGCCACCTTATTGCAGCGCCCTGTATTAGAGTTCTAGCAAATGAGATCACAGGTTATTAGCTATAATCAACTCAAATGTTCATACACCTCCTTCAGGTTGAGAAGCAGTGGAATGGCTTGATGAGTTCCTGTTCTTTCATGACTTTAACTTCCATAGTAAGTCCTAATCACTTAAAAAAAAAAAAAAGGTGAGCTTCAACAGAATGGTAACTATTATAACTGATAACACCTAGTGCCTGGTGTTATCTAAGGGCACTTATTTCAAAGTCAATATGAGGGGTACCTGCGTGGCTCAGTCGTTAAGCAGCTGCCTTCAGCTTAGGTCATGATCCCAGGTCCCTGGGATCGAGCCCCACATCGGGCTCCCTCCTCAGCGGGAAGCCTGCTTCTCCCTCTGCCACTCCCCCTGTTTGTATTCCCTTTCTCACTATCTCTGTCAAATAAATAAATTTAAAAATCTTAAAATAAAGTCAATACGATGCACAATAATTCACCTTTTACATTATTTTATGGGACAATTCAGCAAATTCTTCCTTCTGACTCTCATTCCTGGCTACCTGTCGGGCCGTTCTCTCCGAGATGACTGGAGAGGGGAAATCTACCCACAGCCTGTGGTGCCACACTTTCTCGGTCTTGCTAGTTCGTTGGAACTATTTGTAGCTCCTGGCCATGTCTGATGCAGGACTAGCTAAAATTAGCAGCAGAAGAGGCACCAGCACTTCCTTTCTATGCTGTGGAGGGTTTTTTGTTTTGTCATTTCTAAAAGAGCCACTTCAGCTTTATTGAAAAGCTTCATAAAAGACGGCCTGTCAAGTCTGCCAGGATCTGGGCTCAAAGTCACCTTAGTTCTTCTCTCACCAAAAGCATTCAGTTGGGATGACGATGAAGTGTTTCCTGTTGAGACAAATCTCAAGTATTCAGTTGGAAGGAGAAAACATTCTCAAATGACAACATTTTCTTTTGACGTGCACGTGTTCAAAATCAGACACTTTGCAGAAATGAAAAATGCATGTGTTTATGGATTAGGCTAATATTAAAGGCTAGTTTGTGTGACAGAAAGAACAAAGAGCAGATGACAGAGTTGCCCAAGGGTGAGCACGATCTTTCACTAGGGGCCTGGGTCCCAGTGGAAGAGGAAGAGGAGGGGAAAGACCTCAGAAGAGTACCACAGGGAGCAATTGCTGGCATTGTGGGATGAACAGAACAGAGCTCCGAAGAAGACATGGGGAAATGGTGCCTGGGTGGCTCAGTTGGTTAAGCATCTGCCGTCAGCTCAGGTCATGATCCCAGGGTCTTGGGATCGAGTCTCAATTCGGGCTCCCTGCTCAGCGGGGAGTCTGCTTCTCCCTTGCCCTCTGCCCCTCCTCCATGCTTGTGCTGTCTCTCTCTTTCAAATAAATGAATAAAAATCTCAAAAAAAAAAAAAAAGAAGGTATGGAGAAAGCAGAATATCTGCTGAATTTTGCAAATCCACAAGAACAGCAAGTAAAGGAAACTAGGGTTGAAAAAAAGTGAGAAAAAGGAAAAATGACCTTATAGAGATCATGTAAGGCCGAGGAGAGGAATCTTGGAATGGAAACAATTCTGAGAGAAGAGGGACTACACAAAAACCAGGGAGAAAGTTCAAGTGGTCATCTGAGGCAGTCCACTAAAAATTGCCTATTGAATGCTTCATGCAAAACTGGAAAACAAACATACATCCAACCAACCACACACATTTCCAGTAACAATTAAAATATACTAATTTATTCATAAATCCCAGTTCATGTGATACATTGATATTATGCTCTTCTTCTAATAAATCCAGAGGGATAGAAGGAAAAAATGTAACTTACTAACCAATCATTGAACAGAGAGAACTTAAAACATTTTCAGCAATGCCAGTTAGACATATATCTCAGAGAAATGTGTGTGCTGGGCACCAGGCTATGTATGAAAAAATACCCACGTCAACACTGTTCATCATAGCCCCATCTTGAGACTACTGTTATGTCCACCAGCAAGAATAGACACACTGTGGCATATCCATAAAATGAAATATTACACAGAAATGAAAGTGAAAGAATCATAACTGGTTGTAACATGGATGATTGGGTTTAATGAAAGAGACCACATGTTGAGAATTTTTTTGACGCACTACAGTATGATTCCAGAATTTATCAACTTAAAAACAGGCAAAACCACGCTGTATCATTTAGTAAATGTGAACAGAAAACCACTTAAAAAAAGAAGAAAAGCTAGGAAGTGGTTATCATGGGAGTCAGGACAGTGATTGTGTGTAGGGGGTCGGTAGAGATCTAGAGGGGGCTCATGGCACAGTGAGTGGGTACTTCTAGAGTCCTAGCAATCTTCTGTTTCTTGACCTGTATAGTGATGACATGGTTTTTATTTTTTAACTTATTTCCTACACTCCATGTTTATGTTTTACTAACTTTTCTTATGTGTTATATTCCACAACAAAAATGTTTTTAGAAATAGGGTTTCTGAGGTACCACTTTAGTGGTATGTTACCACAGTGTTATTTTGGTTGCTAGGCAACACTTTTCAGTATCTTCCATGGCATCAGGAGATGGGTACCATATCTGAAACATTTTACTGTGAAAACTAGCACTCTATCTTCTACTGCCTTATTTGCCAATTCAATAAATACTTATTCAACAACTTATAGTATTTCTGATGCTTCAGGAGCTAAGACACGAAGATGAGTTAGGGATCGTCTTTGACTTCGTGATTTTTTAATTTAGTCAGATAGGATGGTAGTCCTCTCTCCTTAACAGGGAGATGATAAGAGTGCTTTAAGGAATTTGAGGGAAGGAGAGATCGCATTTTGAGGGGAGGGAAACAGGAGAGGTTTAAGGAAGAGACCGTTTGAGAAATGGAATTTCAAGAATTGGAAAGATTATGATACTTTAAGTGGGGAAGACTTCATGACAAGATTGTATGAGTAGGAATCAAAAGACTTGTTTAGGAATTAGGGAGTGATAAAATGGATTGGGGGGGGCGCCTGGGTGTCTCAGTTGGTTAAGTGATTGCCTTCAGCTCAGGTCATGATCCTGGAGGGAAGATTGAGTCCCACGTCGGGCTCCCTGCTGAGCAGGGAGTCTGCTTCTCCCTCTGACCTCCTCCCTTCTCACGCTCTCTCTCTTTCTCATTCTCTCTCTCACATAAATAAATAAAATTTTAATAAATGGATTAGGGGAAAGGTTACACACATGAAGATGAATAGAAGGAGGTAAGGCTGGACAGGAATTTGGGGCCCAAAGCATGAAGTTCTTGACTATCACATCTAAAAGTTTGGACTTGACTGATCAAGTGATGGAGGATCCACTGGAAATGTTGGAAAGGTCTTAGGAAAATCAATCTGACAGCTGTGTAGGATGATGGAAGTTAGAAATAAACATTAGGAAATCATGGTAGCCCAGGAGAGAAGTGATTGCTGCAATCGGAATGCAAAGAAAGCGACTATAAGAGCTACTGTGGAGATAAAATCTAGAGAGTTTTTCAGTGACTTGGATGCTCAGAGGTAGAAGAGGTGGATGGAAGGATGGAAGGCTGTTAGAAATCGAAAATGATGACAAAGTTTTGTGAGGTTGACTGAGAGAATAATGATTCTCTTAATAGAAGTAAGGGTATCATGGGGCACCTGGGTGGCTCAGTCAGTTAAGCGTCTGACTCTTGCTTTCTGCTCAAGTCATGATCTCAGGGTTGTGAGATCAATCCCTACATTGGGCTCCGTGCTCAGCACAGAGTCTGCTTGGGATTTTCTCTCTCCCTCTGCCCCTGCCCCCTGCTCTCTCTATAAGTAAATAAATAAACAAAGAAATAAAATCTTTAGAAAAATAGAAATAAGGGTATCAAGAAGAGACTGTTGTGTTCAGGGGTAAGGGAGAAGATACTGCATTTGATTTTGAAAATACTAAATTTGAATACCATAAATTAAATAGGAAGGATATCCAGCAAACATTGGGAAATAATATTTAAATAATATATATTTTACATATGTGTTTATAGATACATAAAAGTATAAATAAATAAATAAACAAATATGTATTTTTACTTTGAGGTCTACTCAACCCTTAGAAAATCTTTGTAATCTAGTCCTTTTAAGAAGTCTGTGATATTCCCACATTTAGCAAAGTCAAACTTGTAAATGGCTGAGCCTGATTTGAAACTAGATTTGCAAATGTGAAATCCCTGGCTGTCTCCATTGCTTCTCACCGCATCCTGTGAATGCCTGTTTATAACCACAGAAGGTTCTGGGCCACGGGCACAGATTAGGTCAGTTACAGCACTGGGCAGTGTGAGGGAATAGAAGGAGGAGGGCCGAAGAGAGGTCTCTGCTCAGCAGGAGGCCTGCTTCTCTTCCTCTCTCTCTCTGCCTGCCTCTGCCTACTTGTGATCTCTGTCTGTCAAATAAATAAATAAAATCTTTAAAAAAAAAAAAAAAAAGGGCTTGTCTGGGGGGCACCTGAGTGGCTCAGGTAGCTAAGCAGTTACCTTTGGCTCAGGTCATGATCGCAAGATCCAGGGATCAGCCTCACTTTGGGCTCTTGCTCAGCAGGGAGCCTGCTTCTCCCTCCTCCTCCCCCTGCTTGTGTTCTCTCTCCCCCTCCCTCTCCCTCTCTCTCTCTCTCTCTCAAATAAATAAATAAGTAAATCTTAAAAAAAAAAAAAAAAAAAGTCTTGTCTGCTTGCTGAAAAGCTGCTGTGAGGGCAAGGACCCTAAAGTCAGGGGACAGTCCTTTTAGTTTGATGAGGACGGTGTCAGGGAAGATCTTTGTAAAAGAGATTTCAATAGAGCGGAGGCGGAGGATTTCAAGGATAAGAAGCGACTGCAAGAGGTGGGAACTACTTCGAGAAGTTTTGTGGAGGCGGGAAACAGAAGAATAAGGTGGCAGCGGGCAATGGCAGCTGAGAGGGGAGAAGCAGGGTGGGCCGGCCGGGTGTGCTTAAGGGCAGAGGAGCTGCAGAGGGGAGATGGACCGTGAATGGAGGAAGGCCCCACGGAGCCATGAGGTCACGAACACGAGCGGGAAGGTACTGCTTTCTTAGAAAAGTGAAGCAACAGCACAAAGTATCACAGGTATTTTTGAATGGTCGACAGAGGTCTCTCAAATGGCCGTGCACTGGGGCCATTCGCTGAAGCAACTTTTATAAAAGACATTCTCTGAGGGAGATGTTGTCCCTATCTCTCCTCCTCAGCAGTAAAATACTTCAGAGGACTGTTCTGTTGCTTTCTCTCCTAATGGACAGAGGGTTAGAACCCTTTGCGTAAGCAGCTCAAATTCTCACTGACTGATGGATATACAGCTGGGCCCTGACACACCGCACCGGGGCCACGCTTTTGAAACCAAACAATTCTTGGATGATAATGGGATTTTTTTTTTTTTCCAAAAAGATCACTGGGATTGCCAAATTTACCATTACAGTATTATTTAAAGGGAAGATGTTAGGTTGATCATATAAAATGGCCCATAAATGACCACTTTTTAAAAGGATTTGTTTATTTTGACAATGAGAGAGAGAGAGAGAGAGCACAAGGAGGGGAAGTGGCAGAGGGAGAAGCAGACTCCCTGCAGAGCAAGGAGCTCAATGTGGGGCTCGATCCCAGGACCTTGGGATCATGGCCTGAGCCGAATCCAGATACTTAACCGACTGAGCCACCCGGGTGCCCCTATAATTGACCATTTTTGATGCACAAAAATAGCAACTTCAAATGATTCCACATTATACAAAACCTACCCAGAGAATATCAAACATAACAAGCAACATCTCCTTACACGTACACATACAAAAACCCTATGCCCTTGCAGGCGGAGAGAACTTCCAACACGAAACAATTTCTTCTATGAATACAGTTTCTGTAAGATTAGAAAAAAATGGGTCTCTCCCTAGGTCCCTCCCACATTAGTGGTTTTCCTATAGAAGGAAGCTAGTTAGGGTGAGGGGAGACAGGTCTAGATCAGGGAGGCCAAGCTGAGTGCTAAGTCCATGAGCTCGTTCACTGATAACATTAATTCATTGAGCGCTGTATTCTGACAGAACTAATCAGTCTTTATATTTATTAAAAAATTAATCCAGACAAAGTATACCTTTGCTAAATAGTGCAACCAATCAATTGATCAGCATTCAACTTCCTCCCTTATTTATAATTTTGCCTCCATAATTGTCAGGACAAATAGCAGGCTTCCAAAGTTCTTTCGAGTTGCTTCCTGATTCATGTGCCCTTCACATAAAAACCATGGTTCTATAAAAAATGAGTGCTTTAAAGGGAGTCAGTACTTAGAAGCAAGAAATACAGGTCCAGTTTGGATAATTGTCTATGTGGGTTAAAGAAAAGCTTCCAGCTTCCCTTTTTTGAACCTGGTTACTACTTGCCTTCACCCTGGGCTTCCAGTCTGCTCACCAGAATTTAAAAAAAAAAAAAAAAAAAAAAGAAGTGTGTGAAGGAGAGAATTTGCAATGTCTGACTTGTTGCACAACACACACCCTGTTTTCTACTCTACACAAGCCAACACAGTCCAAATACTCAAAGCATGTCTACTTAAGAATCACACTCCACATACATACATACATACATATATACATACATACATACATAAAATTTAAAAATAAACAAATAATCACACTCAACAACTGAACAGGACAAATTGGAATGTACCAGCCACCAACCTGCCCAGCCAAGCCAGTCTGGTGAGCATCCATCCACCCAGCCACTAACCTAGCCTTGTAACTAGCCCCACTGGCCCCCTCTCACCACATCAGGTCCCAGATCTGATCCCTGCCTCACACGATCTACCGTCTGCTGAGACATGAGCTCCGTTAGGTTCAAGCCAATGTTTACGAAGCACACCATTGTGCTGAAGGCTGTCACTTCTTCATGTGTTAGCCACAGCTCTGGCCACACTGCTGATTAAGTTCACTTAGTTCCCCTACCTTCCCACTCAAGTCCCCGTGTGAACTCCATCTAGTCTCCACAGCAGTTCTTAGCCTGAGTCCACACTCAGGATTCAAGGTCCATAAACTCATATAGGAAAAAAAAAAAAAAAAACCCTACATCTTTATTTTTCACTCGTCTTAATGAAAATTTAGCATTTCCTTCAGTCAGGAAAGTAGACAACAAAGCAGAGATATGTTCACGTTACATTACTGTTGTTGAAGACATCTTGAAACATGATTCACATTCATTACACCTTCAAAGTTTGGTGGTTAACAGACCACCTCTAGATCTTGCGATGGAACCGCCAAGAAGCCAGTAAATGACTACATCACCATTTAAAACGATACCGATAATTGCATTTAAGTATGATGGATTTCCCCTATAATCCTATGCATTTTATTTTAGGCATTTAACAAATTATCCTAAGGTGGGATCTATACGCCTCACCGCTAAAGGAACCCATAACACACAAAAAAGTACCTGTTACCTGCTCTGGAACGATTCCATTCCCAGCACAGGTCATCTGTTCTATTCCAAATCTCCCCATTCCTCCACGGTTATATGTTTAAGTGCTCCTGGGCCAGCTAAGACCCTCCATGGGTCTTAGCAGAGCCCGGTGAATCTTTCAGCCCCTTCTCAGTCCTCAGATCAATTCCCACTTCTGCTCCCAGGGATGTCCAGAACCTTCTTTTAGCTTTGCTTAAAATTTCTAAGTGCTCTCATAACTTTCCCTTCCATCCATCCACATTCCCAAAGCAAATAAGTCAGACAAGATGTAAGGTCACCTCTCAGTCTGGGCAGCTGAGGCCTCCACAGATGGGTTAGCCCAGGAGGATAAGGTAAACTCAGGGCAGCATAGACAAATGTGAACATCGGTGGGCCCAGGTTCACAAACTCAATCAAGCACCGCATCTCCCTAGAACTCAAGTGCGCCGAGGTAAACCAGGACACCGTTCTTGGTTAAGTAAAAAATTAGTGCCTAAACTCAAAATGTGTGGCACAATTTTTGCCTTTAAATACCAAATTGTCCTCCTCCACCACCCAACAGCCTCCTGTTGACAAGCTCCTGGGACGACAGAGACATGAATTATGACACTTACTCAGAAAGAGAAAGAAAGATGCCACATGTGGGATGTGTGCCATTTGGCCCAGTACAGACCTTTCCTCGTGGTGTCACTGAAGTTGCTCAGACACTGAGTGACAAACGCTGTGCTCTCGCTACAAAGGTAAAGAGGAAGCAATGGTGTGGTTTGCAGCACACTGGGAAACACAGATGGCTTGCAAAGAGCAAAACTGTTTGCATCATATGGTTTTTTGCTAATCATTCGAATCTGGGTGAGAAAAGTGAGTGATCTTCATGGGTAAGTAAGCGTATACGGATAAAAATAAGAAAAGATGGGCCTCATCCTGGCTAAATGTGCATCATTAGGTCATGTAGTAAACCAGATAAATAAAAAAAAAATCAAGCAGAAATGTTCTCTTCTTAATGCTTCCCTCTTCTTCCCCCTTGGGAAGAAGGATCAACATGAATGTGGGGAGATACAAGGTGGTAGTAATGACGATAGTCTCTTGAGCCAGGCTGCCCGGGTTGGCACGCAGGTTCTATTTTCAATAGCTGGGTGATCTTAGAGAAGTTACTGACCCTCCTCTGTAAAACGGAGATACCAATAATATGTACCCCATCAGGCTGTGTGGGTTGAATGAACTCATTCACGTCAAGCACTTAGAACAATACCTGGTACATAGTAAGTGCTCAATGAGTATCAGTAGCCATCATGTGACATTTAAGTGTGTCTTCATCTGCCCAAGATGTGCCTGGCACCAAGGATGGAGAGTAAATACCTAAATCTAACAGGTGCCACTGAACCCAGCCCAACTCAATCCTACCTAATCCTGGAAGACAAGACCGTACAAAGAGGAGCTCACCAAAGACATTAGATTTCTAGGTCAAGGCTACATCTAGATGGGCCAATAATAAACTGGTGTGCTTTGGGGCACAGTTTCAGGCATATTCCCGCTCCATCCACCCACCGAACCATTTTTTTAATACTTCTATGTACTGGGTGCTTTGGTAAATTCTGCACCTGTGAAGATGTTAACAACCCAGTCTTTGTTCTCAGGAAGCTTCCACTTCATCAGAGACCCACAGTGCAATGTTGCAAGCACAACCATCAATGCAGCCCCTAAAAGGAGTGAGAAAGGTTGGGGGACAGGAGGGAAGGGCAGAATGGTTTGGGTTGGGCCAAATGAAACAACTAGGGAGGAAGAGAGGCAGTTACAGCTGGGGGAGAAGCAGCCTAGTGTGAATAATGATGCACAAGCCACCCCCTCCTGTTTGAGTGAAGTTTGAGGTTGGTCTACAGGGTTAGGCTGGGGCAGATCTTACTGGGCCATGCATGCCGAGCCTAGGACCTTGGCCTTTATCCCACAGAAAAGGGGAGATTTGAGGTCTTCTTCTTCTTCTCGTTCTTCTTTTTCTTCTTTAGGAGAATGGCCTGATTGGATTTTTCCTTTTGAATTGAATTCCATGTTGTGTATTGCTAACTAGTTGAAAGATGAGGGAGGGAAGCAAGGCTAGAAGCAGGAAGGCCAGTTACAGGATTTTTGTAGTTTCCCATATAAGCAATGATGAGGTCCTGAATTAAGTCATTTAAGATATTGCAAAGGAATATGGATGCATTTTGAATTACAGGGTAGCCTCTCCAATCTTCTATATGGGATGGTGGAGGCAATCAGGAGCATGACTGGCTCTCACACAAGGTAAGTTAGGTGAGGTGGTCTAGGAGAAATACGAGTGAAGAGGTATGGACATTTGAAGGAGGGAGAGAGCACAGCTGATTCGAGGAAAATGGGAAATCAGGCCAATCTTCAGGGGAAAGGTAACATTTTGAGACAGGACTTACTTTCCCCATGGCCATTATAGTAGAGTAGGGTGACATTCAACAAATTCAGGTCTGGAAGCCTCTAACTTTTACCCCTTTTCAAGTTTTCACTTCCTTCCCTTTTGGTTTTATTTATTAGTGATGATACCTAAAAATTAACCTTCCATGGTCAGTGAAACTACAAATACTAATGTCTTTAGTGAAAAGCTCTGTACTTCCCTTGTCAAGGTACTATGCAAGACTTAGTGGAAGATGAGCCATTCCCCCCAGAAACTTGAAAATTAGCTTAATAAAGAACCACAGATAAGAAACAGTAGCCAGTTAGCATGAGCTCTCTCATGTGGGCCTCTCCACAGTAACACTTGAGTGCCCTCACAACATGGCGGCTGGCTTCCCCCCAGATGGAGTGATCCAAGAGAGACAGATCAAGGAGGAAGATGCAGAGCCTTTTATGGACTAGTATCAAAGTTACACACTATCACTTCCGCCTATTCCATCTGTTAAAAGTGAATCACTAAGTCCAGCCCACACTCAAGGGGAGGGAAATTAGGCCATGCCTTTTGAAAGGAGGAGTGTCAAGAATTCATGGATGTATTTTAAAACCACCACAAACCTACTAATGATTTTTAAACATTTTTCCATATGTCCTTTATCATACGTGTGTGTGTGAATATGTATGTATTTGTTCAAGACAAAGAAAGAGAAAGGAAGGAAGGAAGAGAGAAAGAGAGAGAGGAAGGGAGAGGGGAAGAGGGGGGAGGGAAAGGAAGGAAGAGTAACCAAATAAGGCAGCATGTGTTGAATCCCCAATTTATGGCTCAAATAAGAAATATCCTAAGAGTTAATAGGCTGGAGGGGCTGCTGTAGGCAGGGAGCAGCCATAGGTCATTCAGAAAACACTGGTTTTAAGTAGGTCCTTGGGGGTCTGGTATGATTCAAATAGGCAGAGGAGCGAGGGGAGGAAATTCCAGTAGGGAGAAATGAAATGTACAAAGATACAGAAGCACAAGGTGCAGGTTATACTCAGGGAACAAGTAAAGGGTAGTTTACCTTGAATGGGCATTTCACACTACCTCTACAGGCTGCTGACTATAATATCAGTGGGACCTAAGGTATGGTAATTGGTCCATCGTTTCAGTTGGAGAAATCATGGGTCATCCCCAGGCACCGAAATTTTAGGCAAATACAATGAATCATTTGTTATTGCTGTAACAGTACACATTATTTTTGTTCTTAAGCCTGTGAGTCACCTGTCCTGGACCAGCCTTGGCTGGCATCCCCCTTCCATCCCTCCAATAGGCTAGCCTGAGCAGGTTTTCATGGTGATGTCAGGGGTCCAAAAGGACTCGTGGAAATACAACAGCACTTTTTAAAGCTTCTCCTTTTATCATGGCTGCTAACACCTCATAGATCAAAGACAGTCACCTGGCCAAGTCCAAATGCAAAAGATGGGTTAACAGGCTGCATCTTTTTAGTGACGGGAACGGCAAAGCGACAGGGCGAAAGGAGAGATAGAGAACTAGAACGAGAGACGCAGTCAGTGCGCTACGTGCACAGGAAAGAGAATTCTTCTAGAAGTGAGCATTGACCACAGAGACGGTCATTGTCAATATACATCGTATCAGTATTCCTGAAAAACGTGCAACCAAATAAATGCTAGACAACTTCTCATTTCTAGCTTTGCCCCCCCCAAAAAAGAAATTTTTTCCCCCCTCTTTCCATTTTAAATGACTCAGTTTCTGCCAACATTAACGTTGACAGAGTGATGTCGCTTCTTTCCTGGGGCCAAGAACAAAAAACCAAACGAACAACGACAAAAAAACAAGCAGTTTTCTGTTGTCAAGGGGGAAAAAAGAAGAAAGAAAGAATAAAGCCAGAGAGAGAGTGTTATTCTATTACCTTGGCAATCACTGCGTTGTAATTGTATCAGCTAAAAAGAATGTAAAAACGCACTTCCTGAGTCAGACGGAGGGAGAGAGCCAGGAATGGACAAAACGGCACAGGAACGTACTAACGAAAAAAATTCTTTCCCAGTTCCTGGAAGATTAAGAAAAAAGAAATGTTTTTTCTTTTCCTTCAGATTTGACATGCACAAGTATTCCACAGAAATCCCAGATATTTTAGCCTCCTCTCCGAAGCATGTAGGCCCAAAACTTATTTCGACAGGGACCTTTTCACATAGGGAATTTTTTTAAATCTTTTTTTTTTTTAAAGATTTTATTTATTTATTTGACAGGCAGAGATCACAAGTAGGCAGAGAGGCAGGCAGAGAGAGAGGAGGAAGCAGGCTCCCCGCTGAGCAGACAGCCCGATGCGGGGCTCGATCCCAGGACCCTGGGATCATGACCTGAGCCGAAGGCAGAGGCTTAACTCACTGAGCCACCTAGGCACCCCTCACATAGGCAATTTTACAGAAGAGCTCATATCACCATGTGATGGGTATTACAAATCCCATTTTACAGATGAAGAAACTGAGGCTCAGAAGAATCAACTGGCCAGGACTGTAAGGATAGGAAATGGCTGCCTTCTTGCTCTTGGCTCAGTGCTTTTATTTTTTTTAATATTCATTCCAGTATAATAAATATACAGTGTTCTATTAGTTTCAGGTGTAGAAATATAGTGATTCAACAATTCCACACATCACCCAGTGCTTACCATGATAAGTATACTTCTTAATCCCCATCCCGTTTCACCCATCCCCCGCCCACCATCCTTCCGGTGACCATCGGTGTGTTCTCTGGAGTTCAGAGTTTGTGTTTCAGTTTGTCTCTTTTTTCCTTTTTTCTTAAATTCCACACGAGCGAGATATTATGGTATTTGTTTTTCTCCAACTTATTTCACTTAGCATTATACCCTCTAGAGCTATCCATGCTGTTGTAAATGGCAAGATTTCTTTCTTTTTTATGGCTGAGTGATATTCCATGGTGCATACATACCACATCTTCTTTATCCATTCATCTACCGATGGATGCTTGGGCTACTTCCGTAATTCAGCTATTGCAAGTAATGCAGTAAACATAGGAAGGTATATATCTTTTTCAATTCGTGTTTTCATATTCTTTGGGTAAACACCCAGTAGTGGAAATTACTAAATCATAAGGCAATTCTATTTTTAACTTTTGAGGAACATCTGTACTGTTTTCGGTAGTGGCCGTGCGTTCCTGCCAACGTTGCAAGAGGGCTCCGCTTTCTCCACATCCTCGGGAACACTTGTTTCTTGAGTTGTTGATTTTAACCATTCTCACAGGTAAAGTGACAGTG